TCCAACAAGTTAGTTGTTTTTGACGAATACAAGCGTCATGAAAAAATAGCAACATTTCGTGTTATGACGGGTATACTCATCAAAAATTATCAGACCTCAGATTTTATGCAGTTATCACGAAGATGAGTATCTGCAATTTGTAACAATACAGAGATTAAAAGAATTTAATAATTAGATTGAATAATAATTTGATTTTAAGCATTTCTAGCGGAAATGAGCAACAGAAATATCAAATTTTGAAGCCATAAGAAGAATTCAATAATACTGTTGCATTATCTTCAACTTATCAGAGTTATTTTTAAAAAAACTACTGTATTTTTATTTAATTTCTGCTTCTGTCGATCATCTTGGAACATTTCTATTTCATTTAATAAAAAGAAATTGATTGAAGATGGAATAGAACTGCTAAATCACTGTTGTATACTGCAACAGATACAGACAATATTTATTTTGCATAAAAATCCACAGTCTATTCATTAACCACATACGCAATAATAACTATGGACTACTGCAACACGAAAGTAATTTCTGCCAGCTTGCCACAATCTTAGTTTCTGTATTATACATTGTGAAGCGTGTCGCAAGATACCCGATTCATAAAGTAGCCCGTCGAAGTGACAGCGCGAAGGCGATAGGTTAACATCATCCACAGACGAGACGAGCTGAACTGCTCGAAAAAGTGTCGGATTTTCATCTATAACTCTCCACAATGTCGAAGAAACCCTCGAAGACGCTGTTCACCAAAGAAACGCTGAATTATTTCACGAGGTAACTAGCAACTCGACTTTTGCTCGATCGAAAAGACATTGATGGAAACGCTGGTTCCATAATAATCGACGAAAATACTTCTCGACTCGTTCAGCTACGAAACATCAGCGCGAGATGTTGCTCAAATTAGATGTTACACAATAATTTCCCGTGGAACCATTGACATCGGTAATATCGAAACAAGTCGAATGAAATTGCTCGTTCGATCGGCAGTGATAGCGATTCATTATTAACATTAGATCTACCAAGTCAGCCGAACTGATTGGTTTCTAATTATTTCTTTTGAAATTTCTGATATTCAAAATTTCTTTCAAAATTTCTGATATTAAAGCAATGTTTCTATATGAGAGAAATTTTTATATTATATTTTTATATTAAATTATTATAAAATATTATATACATACATCGGTCGCATTTAATGCTCAACAAATACGATCGAATAAATAAATACAGTCGACCCTTCACTAATGAGCAAATACTGCTGTACGTCGAAACTGCGATATCTGAAGTGCATTTATGGCGTATTCAAATGCACGAAATGCAAGTATTTTTCTAGCTGATATAAAACGCGTTTCCTTTGGTCAGATTTTGCAATCTGATATTACAATCTAACATCCTTTAAAAAGAATAAAAATCCTTGAAACGAACTATCAAAAGGATCAAATAATTATCCGAATAATTGTCTATTAAACATCCTTGGCAAAGATAAAAATCCGAAAAACGAGCCGTAAAATCGCGCAATTGTTCAAAGAATTTTTCTTCTCGTCGACTTCACCGAGAACGCAAGTACGTTCCCGATACGAAACGCGTCTCCTTTGTTCGGATTTCGGTAGAGCAACGAGCAAAAATTCTCGGAGAGATCTAAGTTCGCTAATTTTCCCCGCACGCGAATTTCGGCGGCGGACGCTCTGTCCGCGATGATTTCGCGCACGATTTATGGAAAACTGCTTTTCAAGCACGCACTTCTGGGGCCCGGCGTTCAACTGGATGATACCCGTGGCGGCCATATCCGACACGCAAAAGCATCCGAGAATCATTAGCGGCAAGATGACGGTGGGTGAGTTCTCCCGAAGCACCGTGTCCACGGACCTTTCGGGGAATTCTGCAAAGCCGTTCATATAATAATCGGTCGGAGAGGAAAGGGATACGGGGACAAACGGGGCCCATGGCGAAGGGAGGAAAGGGTATAGTGGGGAACCACGGGAACGAAGGTAGGGAAAGGGCACGTGAAATAATTGCGCCGGCGAATAACCGCTTACAGTCTTAACGAGCGGGACGATGGAAACTGGTCCCCGGGAGGACCAAATATCGCGGTAAAAATTGTCCGACTCGCCCCGACGCCATTTTAATGCTCCGGCGATAAAGCCCGACCTTCGAGCATAATCCAAATTATTACGGGAATGGGCTAAACGTTTCAGTCGCCGCAGTCGTTCGCCGATCCGCATGGAAACGTTTTTATAAGCGACTTTTCCAAGCTACAATTCATTTGTTCCAAGTGTAGTTAGAATAAATAATTATATTTGATATTATCAATTATTTTCTTTCAGAATAAATTATATCAATTATCTTAATCGTTACATTTTCCTTGAAATAAATTGAATTGTAAGACAAGTTGTAATATCAAATAACGTATAATGATACAGAGAAATTTCAACATTACTCCTTAAATTTTGGATCTTAAAAATTATACTAGATATATAAATATTATAATTAATTTTAATATATGAATTAAATTCATTTCTGAAAGAAGTAGACACTGATCAAATTCAAGCTGGAAATTAATTGTTCTATTAGTTCACCGTTCCAAGTGTAATGAAAATAAATAATTATATTTGATATTATCAATGATTTTCTTTCATAATAAATTTTATCAGTTATTATACATTTTCATAACAAAGTTTTCAATTATTAAGTTTTCTTTGAAACACGTCTAATTTTCTGAGAAATTGTAATATCAAATATTGTAATTATACAAGCAAATTTAAAGATTATCCCTGAAATTTTGGACATTAAAAATTGTATTATAACACATAAATATTATAATGAATTTTAATGTATGAATTTAATTCATTTCTAAACAAAATTAGATATCGATGAAATATCGAATTACTTTTCATATCTAATTAAACATATATGTAGAATCTTTGTTCTATTTTATTAGGCAAGCACTTTCTACTTATTCGAATAAGTCGTAACTGTGTTGATTCTGGATTGATTGTCAGCACTGGCCCTGTACTCGATGGTGTTCATGAGGTTCGCATGGAAAGTACAGCCTAGAAATTTGCTGCTACTGGCGTGCCATGCTGTGAACAGCGGTGCACAAATTACGCAAGGCTGCAGGTTTCTCAACTACCATTACCTGTCACCAGAAGCATCTGAATAGTGACAATGGATCCAACGTTTGAATAAGCGTTCACGTTTGATACGATTTTTGCATTGTCAACTTTTAGATACTATATTACATTCTGTATTACACATATATGTATATATACATGCATATGTAACCCTAAACGATTGTTAGTGGTTGCGATGATACAGGCGTTAAAAGAGAACTATAGCTAGGTCACAAGATTATACGGCGAATTTTTCTGTTCGTGAATTTTATTTAAGATCCCTTACAAAAATAAAGATAGCTAAAACGAACTATCGAAAAGATCACAGTAATTGTCCAATATTTCTTCTTGTGAATTTTATCGAAGATCCTAGGCGAAGATAAAAATCCTGGAGGATCACACAAAAGAAAAACAAGAATTTTTCTTCTTCTCAATTTGATTAAAAATCGTTTACAAAAATAAAAATCCTAAATATTAATCAACGAGAATCTCAAACAATTGTTCGAGAAATGTTCCTTCTCGTGAATTTTATTGAATATCCTTTCCAAAAATGAAGATCCTCGAAACGATCTCTCAAAAAGATCACATAATCGTCCGAGCAATTTTACTCCTCGTTAATTTCACCAAAGATCGTTTACAAAACTAAAAATCCTAGAAATTAAACAACGACAAATTCGCGCAACTGTCGTACAATTTTTTCTCCATGTAAATTCCATTAAAATTCCTTCGCAAGAACAAAAACCCAAAAAACGAAGCGTAGACAGTTCGACGCAACTGTACATAAATTTTGCATTCTTGAAATTTTAGCGAAATAAATCAGCAAGAAAATCCCGTTCCATGAAAATGTAAAGCGATTCGCTATCAACGAAACGTCCATTTGCCTTTTCTTCTGGTTGCGCCCCAGCCCCCGAAGAGCAAAAGGGCGCGTTCTCCGCGGCCCCAGTTCGACGGACGAATATATAAGGAGAGCAATAATTTTCTAGGGTCTCTGTGTTCTGTTTCCCGAGCGATAGCCGCGCCGCCTCGAGAGGAAGGGCACTCGATCGTGCTTGGGGTGATTTTATGGGATCTGGCACGGATCAGAGCCACGAGCCCGTCCCAGGGTGTATTCCGGGTTCTCCGTACGTGCGTAAGCCATCGGTGTCCCTTCGTTTCTGTCTCCGTCCCGTTCTGCTCTTTGCATTCGTCGGAAAGGGCCAAAGGGAACGCGGACGACGGACGCCGGACGACGAGAACCGCCCTCGCTTCCCGGAATAAATATATATGAGCTGATTAGCCCTGCTTGGCTTCGATCATGCGTTCCTTCCCTTTATCGGCCGACCACTTTGCATCCGGTGACGTCACCTGGATCGAGATTAGAGCGACGAACGCTGTCGCCGACCTTGCTCTTCGATTTTCGTAGATCTTAGGTGAATACATCATCGAATATAATGCTAAAATATAAAAATACCGATCACATAACGTTGTGACTGTGGGTCTATGTGAAGACTAAAAGTTGTATAAAATTGTCTGAAATCGACGTTGCTTAAATCGACGAAGATTGCAGTCAAATGAATGTAGAAAATCGATGATAGATTTTTACAGGTCTGTGTTTCACATATTCTGCCATAAATGCATTAAATCGACAGTCCAAGCATGAACATCGACATATTTACAATGCAGTTCAAAATGCAGTTGAAAAAGATGCAATAGAACAAATGCAATTAAAACGGATGAAATAGAAACTGATGTATTTAAAACAAATGCAATCTAAACAAATTCAACTGAAAACGATGCAATAAAACAGATGCGACTAAAGCAAATGCAGCTAAAAGAGATGCCTTTACACTAAATGCAGTTGAAACAGATGCAGTTCAGAACAATGCATTTAAAACAGATGTAGTTGAAACGAATAAAGTTAAAACAGATAGACAAAACGAGCGCAGTTTAAACAAATGCAGCTAAAAACGCTGCAATTAGAACAGTTGCAGTCGAAACAGATGCATATGGAAAAAATGCATTCGCAAGAAACGGACGCAGTTGGAAAAAGATGCAACCAAGCCAGATGCAGGCGAATCAAATGGGGTCGAAAGGCGCGGTAGAAAACTCGGAAAAAATCGCGAAAATCCGTTCCGGATCCGAGGATTCTTGACGGATGCTGGGTCGTCAGGATCGGATCGAGATCGCGTCCGATAGATCGGCGTTTCCACCGGCGCGGCGCGGCGATTCGACTGTCGTTGACGCCGCAGTCGTTTCTCCTCGCGAGCGGAGGCATGTGGCAAATTGCCGCGGCTGGCCCGAAAGGTTTCTCGTCTCTTCGCCTCTCTTCTCCTTGTCTCCTGCGGAGGCGCCTCCGAGCGGAGGTGGAGCAAGAGTGCCGGAGGAGAACGGGAGGAGGAAGAGAGGCCAGAAGGCCCGAGGAAAGGATCAGAGAGGGGCGGGGGGCGGAAGGAAAGGCGGCGGGCAATCTGTGATTCAAAGAGAACGATCCGTCTTGCAACATGCCAAGATTCAATCGTCGGCATTTGTTTGCGGGATCAGTCCCCGAGGACTCATCGCCCTCGGACCTTCTGTCGGCGGGACCGCCTCCAGATCGCTGGGTCGCGAAAATTTTCGGAATCTCCTCTAGCATGCAAATTTTCGGGGACATTTGCATCCGATGGGACTGTGATACGATACTGTGCGAAATTACAAATTTGCCGATTTTGTACGTGGCAGCTAAAATATACGTTGCTCAAAAAAAGTACAGCATTGAACAATTTTGAATACAGATTTGCCAACTTTGACCGACGATAACTCCGCGAGAAATCATCGTAGGACGATGATCTTCCTTTCAAATATAATTATTCACAGCACTGGAAACAAATTATACTGCTAAAAAAAAATTATTGCACAGAACAATCTTCGATAAAAGTTGGCCAACTTTGACCGACGATAGCTCCGCGAGAAATGATCATAGAATGATGATCTTTCTTTCAGATTGAAGCTTGAAATCTCTACTTTAAAATAATGTTTCTCGATTTCAAATTTGTTGCACACTGACCACTGTAACCCTTTAAATGCGAAGCTATGTTTGTCATATTGAAAATTGTCAAGTTTGACGAAATGCACGGACTTTGTAAAATTTTTTTCGGAGATGCCATTTACAGTGGAATGAACTTTGACCCATCTGCTTTAATTTAAAAAAACAGAGACGCGGCTGCGATTTTTTTTTCGCACAATTACGGCCTTTTAAAATGACCCTTGCATTTTTAGTGCGCCTCAGAGTTGTTACTCTAGTGCAAAGGGATTACGATGAAACGCTTTCAATTCAAAGTATAGTAAAACTGCATACAAAAATCGCAGATGAATTTTTGAGATCTCATTGTACAGAGGAAATTTCCCTCTATGAGATCACGTTTTGACGAATTTGGAGAAAAAATGTTTGAACTCTGTATAATTATTTGAATTTGCATGATTTCGACAGAGGAAATTCGACTCGAGGTTCTCAATTCGTATTGCAACAATTTATTATTATAACAAGGAAGAATTTTTTCAAGCGAGCTAAGTTGAACAATTTGAAAGTAGACACTTAGCCCTTTACAAGGAGTACAGGTAGAGGACCGTAACATTTTTTAACGTGAAGTTACAGGCGTTCAAAGATCACCTTACGGAACAACAAGAAAAACAATTTCCAAAAATATCTCTGTAACAACTAATGCGGATTCTTATGCAAAATAAAAATTGCCTGCCTCGATTGCTGCATAGACACTTCTTTCACTCTTCAATTATTTTATTAAGTCGAAAATAACGCAACAGTATTTTTAAATTCCAAAATGTTTCCACTCTTCCGTATTTTGATTCACTCATGTTTGTCGTAAACGCATCAAATGCGCGGTCTAGCAATTTTTTACCACAGAGGATAAATTCGAAGCCTCCCTTGCGTTGGATGATGCTGTAGCCTCGCAGGAATCGCCGTAATCAATAAATAAGCAATTAAGTGGAAAGCGTTAACTGCGCAATCCGGTGGAACGAAAGCAAAGATCGCGGTCGGTGGAAGAATAAAAATTAAAAGAACTCTCTGAAAAGTGGTGGAACAAGGGCTGCCGAGAAAATGTGAAATGAACTGTAAAGCGGAATGCACAGACTGTAAAGCCTCGGTCCCCGCAGAAATCGAGGAGCTCGCGGGGTTGGAACGACGAAAAATTGAGGAGAGGGTGCGCCCTCGACTTTCTCGCCGATTTCGCTCGATGATCTTTAAATTAAGTGCACCGGCTTATGACGCCCGTGTAAAGTCGTTCGGGGGTGGATTTTCACTGGAAGAAGGCAACGAAAAAAAAAAAGGGAAATGCTCTTGATACGCGTGACGAATGCGACCTCGACGAGCGACCCCCTCCGGCGAGATGAATCAAACGCACCCTCGCGATGCAGGACATACATTAGGCCGACACGCCGGACCGGAATGCTGACTATTTTCCCGGAGAACCGAGGAAAATAGGAACGTTATTAAAGGGGACGTGGAAAAGTCGCCGGCACGCGGAACCACCCTCTCGCGAAATTTTTTCCCTTGGCGAAAGGCGGCCGCGAAACTCGATTACCACTTTTGTCTTTCGTTCACAGATCGAGTGTTTAGTATTTTATTTATTCCGTTTCTTTCTATATTTTAACTGTTTGTCACGTTTTTTTTTGACCAAAATGTTGCAAAAATACCTTCGTAAAAATCCTTCGTAATCGCGAGGAAGATGTGAAATAAATTCAGTATTCAAATCATTTTCTTCGATAATAATATTATATTCAGTTAATGATTCGTTGATTTTATCAATTCATAATATTGAAAATGTTTGAATAGCATAATAAAATTGTTGAAGATGCTGTGACAAAGTTTTCATCTTTCTTAGAGGTTAATTGGATCTAGAAATTTTGTCCGAAAATGCACCGATTGCCGGATGGTGGAGAAAATCATCCCCTAGAATTTAATAAGATTTTATGTCCCATGTAGACAATATTTTTAATTTTTCGATGCGAAGAGATTTGTGTTTCATTCACGTCATTCTTGAAAAGTTGCTATCAATCAGTAGAATATTTAAGATGA